GAGGTAATTCTAGGTATATGCAAAAAAAAAAAAAAAAAAAAGACCCAAGCAAACCAAAATGGTGGAATATCCAGTGGATGGAGGTTTGGTGGAAGCTTTTAATTCCTGTTATCCACACTAACCCATCTGCTGGCTTTCTGTGATCCAGTGTTTTCACAYACATGGCCATCACAGCGCTGCCTACAGCACAGATCTGGGACTGTTAATCAGATTAAAGCCAGGTAGGTATGCAGTGATTTACTTCATACACATATGCACTGGCTTTCAATTCAGTCTCAAGGWTCTCTGTATAAGAACCTGGAAGAGCAAGAGGATAACATGAAACTGAGTCTGTTCCTGCTAGAATTCCTAGAGAGTTTAAACTAGTGGGAATGTGAAAATGTGCTCCACTAAATGGCATAAAAGTCTGCTATTTCTAGAGATTTTTCTCCCCACACTGCCTACTTCAGYCTCCTCTCCCAGGCCAGACTAACAGATGGCTTCTGGCTGATTCTRCCCACTGAGCTACTGAAACTGATGAACCGAAGGAAAGCCAGTGGGAAGTAATTCTGGAACTCTGTGGTCTATTTATGCTACACAAAAGCCTATTGCTCCAGCTCCATCCCTAACACAAGCGCAGCATGTCCCATCCCTGCATCCAGCAGCTGCCCCGTGCTCTCCCCGCACAGAGGATGATGCCTTGTGCCTGGTGGGCACTGGAGGGGGCAGGCTCCTGCCTGGGACAGGCTCAATAAAACTCTTGTCTTGTTCAGCCTTGTGCTCTATTGCATCCTGGAGCTCTCTGCTCATCCTGACACAAACCTGGGAATGAAAAAGATGACAAGGCTCAGGAAATTTTTCTGTGCGAGCAGAAAGGATGTGGGGGTTATACAGTGCTCATCCAGCTCGGAGAAATCTGCTGGAAAGGAAAGGATAGAAACTGTTTAAGAACTCTTGTTTACGGAGGTCCCAGATACCTAACAATAAACTCAACAGTAAAGTCAAATAGGCAAAACTCAGGGTATTTACCCTGCCAACTGCTGCAGCACATGGAGAACCAAAGTTGGGTGTTTAACGGGGAGATTGACGCTGACCTTTAATGCTGCTGGAAAAAGTAAATAAGAAAGCTGCTGAATAATATGGTCAGTGATTTTTTTTTCTTCAGGTATGTGAGCAGCTATTAATTTATTTTTGTTTATCTATTTGAAATATTTCTGTAGTCTGACTGAGCCTTGGTTTGGAAGCAGTCTTTCAAGCTCAATGCAAACATTCGATATTCAAAATTGGAGTAGCCTGGGTATGTTGGATTGGACACGTAAACCAGRTGTCATGATTTCTTTGGCCAAATGAATGCAAATCTTGGAAACACTTCAAATGGTCTATTTTATTAGGTTTCAAACACATTTTAGACAAACATTTGCTAATGACTTCGAATTGACCATGCCAGCAAGCTCATTTGATAAAAAGGCAACAGAAAATGCATACAAAAGGATTGCAAGCACTGCAGACAGCTCAAGCACAGATSCAAGCAGACTGTGACACTGAGGACAGCTCTGTCTGGCTGCACAGAAGTTCAGAGTGTCCTTTCAACAGCGCTCGTCATTTCCTTAGCCTGCCAGTGGGGACTACAACGTGCTGAAATCTGCGGCACGTCTGGGAGTCACACGGCCCTGGGCACGGTGCAGCTCTATCATCACAGGCTGTTATCACCCTGCATGTACCAAGCAACACTGCAGACGCACAGGGCCTGCCACAGGAAGGCAGTTCTGCATCAGAGTGTGCTCATGAACTCATCTGTCCTTCCAAACAAATGAATCCACAGTGTYAGTCACTCTGCCCGAGGATTGATCTGCTCTGCTGCTGGGGATGCACCCGCTCCAGTCCTGCAGTGGTGCCTGGATCTCTCCTTGCAGGCTGYAGCTCTTCCCCATCAGCCAGAAATCCTGCTGCCTGTAGCTATAAGCACTTTTCCTGGCTTTCATTTAAGTGCAATATCTCAGTAATGCACTCACTGCACCCCKCAGTCCCATGGCTGAGCAGCACCTACAACAGAAATGAGCCAGGGCTTACAGAGATACTCATACAGTGAATGAACATAATACATGTTCAGCTTAAAAATATATTTCTGCCCAAGTCCTTTTGAGGCGCTTTTCCATAAGCACAGATTGTTCCCCCTTGCCTGGCTGCAAGGGAAGGTGGAGAAGCTCATGCAAACATGAGATGACAGGATCTACTACTCTCATACAGTGCTGCCACCTTTCCATAAACACCAAAACACCACACTACTACAGGAACTTTCAGTGTCAGAAAATAAAGGAGTAAAGCTTCAAGAGCAATAAAAATTTGTACAATCTCTGAAGGAAAATAGCCTGTCCTCCTCAGAGGCTTCACCCTAAACTGCCCATGCCCTCTGCAACCCCTCAGTCCCCATCCCTGGCAGCTGAGCACAGCTCTGTCAGGGAGCACAGCCCTGCATAGGGCAGGGGCTGTAGCCTGAGCCCAGGCAGTCACCCTTCCTCCAAAAGGTGATTCTCAGAGCACAGATGCTCCGTTCATACAGCCCCTGGCTGGCCCTTAGTGACACACAGTGCCACACACACCAGGGASAGGAGCTGTAGGTGCAGCAGCAAAGGCCATATTCACAATAAAATCTCYCAAGTGCACATTTTATCTCTCAGTCATAACATCAAGCTCCTTTACTTAGACACCTACTTTTTTATTTTCAGTGTATCTGTAAAAACATGAAGTCTCTTTTTGTGACATGGTGGAAACAAAAGCAGACAGAGCCTGATATTTAATGTGTAAGACATGTTGGTTTAATCCTGTCAGGATTTTAATGTACATTATATAGGGACAGGCAATGACCAGAGGGAGGGAGGGAGGTGTAAATAATCCAGAGGAGTGTGGACTTGTTGGCAGGGTGGATTTATGTCCTGTCTTAATAAAGTGTCCTTTCATCTCTGGAACCTGGGCTCAGAAGCCAGTCTAGACAGGAATTAATGGGGCTCCTTCTCCACTTACAGATCTCAAGGTTTCCCAACAGAGAGCTCAATCAGCCATGGATACTGTTTTTTGCAATGAGCTTTTAAACTCAAGTTCTGACCATTCACTGAAAAAGATCTGCTCCTAGGCCAGGAGACAAATTAAATTCACTTTCTACAGCTTTTAAAAATGTGATTACCACCCTATGATGAAGCCAAGCAATTGTGAGCCTGTTGTAAAGAGATGGAGCAGGGCATGCCTAGAAAATATTATTGGTATGGACCAAGACTTGGTTCTGCCTGGAAACCATGTCCAGGAGCATGAGTTACTCAAGGCAATACAGCACTAGGGCCTGCAGATGCTGAGTTGTGTGAAATCTCCTGTGGTGAGGGAAAATTGCTGATTCCTTTTTGGCTTGCAGTAAACCTTCCCTTCTGTTTATTTGTCTCCCTTAGGGGTCCAAAAGAGTAGGTGGGGATGGAGCATTTGAAAGCATTTCTTGATAAAGGATCTGGGATTTCACTGGAGTGTGCAGTCAAGAGAAGCAAAGAAAGCTGCGAGCAAAAATGTACGTGACCAGAGGGATTTAGAGCATTTAAAGCAAAATCCTTCGGAGAAAAGTTTGTTAAGGATTATAATTTCTTGAACTCTTTAATTGCTTTTCCTGGGAAAAGGTCACATCTTAATCTCTGATCTCCAGCTATGGACAAGAACACCCAGATGCAGAGAGATTCAGCTCCTAATTTTACATCTGTTTAATTTTCAACAACAGGAGACAGGGAGCAGCAGGATGCACTGCCAGCTATTAGGGAGCCCTTTTATTATGCAAAATTTGGATCTTGTCTAAGTACAAGGCCTCCAATAAGTAAAGACAGAGCCAGTTAAAGGAAAGGAATAGGRGAACAAAGTGGTCTCCAAAGGCACAGCAAGAGGTAAGAGCCCACTGTGTGCAGTGATGGACAATGTGACAGGTTCTCTTCCCAAGACATTTCTTCTACAGAYATTTGGACAGTACAGACAGAAGTGGCCAAAGAGCTTCCTTCTGGGAGCTCAATAGCTGCTGGCTAGGCAGAAGGACTGTAATTTGTAAACTCTTAAATTAAGATATACAAAAGTCACAGGCAGTATGTAAGCTGTCCTCTGCATGATATTTTATTCTGTTTATATAGCTTAGCACTCAGAACAAAAAAACAATGATGTCTCTTAGTGACAGTTGCCCTGGGCTGCCTGCACCATGCTCAGGGCAGCAGGAGCCCTCTCCTTCCTTCTCTGTTCCCTGCAGGGTCAGTTTATTACAGGAGCTCACAGCTCTGCTCCATGACGATCCTGTGCCTAGGAAAGGAAGGGTGGCAGAACCTTTGTACTGGAGCATTATGGCTGCAAGACCATGGGTGCCATGCCCAGCTCCATTCATTAAACAGCAATTGCCCTCTGCCCCAACCCAGGAATCTCCTGGCACTGCTTCACAAAGCAGGAGCCACTTCCATATAACACGATTTAAATAAGCCCCAGACGAAAATGCAAAATTGGTCCTGGCCTGGTGAAAACCAAATTTTCCAACCTGTGSAAGAGCCACCAGTGAGACCCCGGGAGAGGAAGCACCCAGGCTCAGTTAACTCACTTGAGGATGATACACTTTTTAWCACCTGCTGAGCAGTGCTGCCTTCCCAAGTGGGACTCCTCAGCTGCAGCTGGAAACCTTACAGTGCTGGAAGTGAGGGTGTGGAAGAAGATCAAGGGCTGCTTTGTCATGCAGGGTTTTGCGCATTAGTGCAATTCATTAGTGGAGGCTGATAATAAAGAGCAGTAATGAAGTGCATTAGACCACCGTGCGCCTCCAGAGCTGTGCTGAGAGCCAGGCTCTCTCTCTGTGGCACGGCACAGCTTTGGCACTCCCAGATTGTCTCTCAAGAGCACAGCAGCAGTCAGGGAGATCCAAACCAGATGCCGCCTCTCAGCCTCAAGCAGAGCAAATGTCAACCAGCACAGCCCTGTTCTCCCAGCTGTGCTCTCCCAAACCACTCACCTGGGCCACCACGACAAAGCAYTGCAGGCAGTGAAGGCAAGTGCAGAGTGAAATCCCAAACATGCGTTGTGTCCAGGAAGGCAGGTTGTGCTTCCTTCTGCCAGGTCCCACTCCACAGACAATTTGCAAGCTGGCACAGGCTCTTCTGAGATTGCATCGTGGATGCCCTGGTGTGTTTTGGGCTCTGTGCTGGCCAGCTTTTGGTTCACAGCTTTAATCTTGCCTAGGGCTGGGTGTTACAGTGTGGAAAGAGCAGAACCAGGGATGCAATAGAGCTCTGTGGAATAGAGGAGAAATCCCCCATTATACACCCCCTCCTAAGAGCTCACATGGCAATCTAAAACTCGCCACTCCCTGTTAGGTAAGGAAGGCACAGAGAAGTGGAAGGGAGGTGGATGGCAGTGCATGTGTTGGGACAGCCAGGCCCAGCGCCCTGTGGGTAGCACAACTGACCACGCTGTGTGCAAGGATGAGGGTGYTGCTGCCACCCCCACAGCACCTCACTGCCCTGCAGCCCCTTCCATCCTCGCAGAAAACTCGATGCTGTCTGGGGGGTGTGTCAGTAAAGGACCAGCCTGCAAGGTCTGTATTCACAACYCTTTTGGTGTCTGCATTTATTCCCTGCTGGGCAAGTGAAGGTGTCGGGGACAAGACCTGAGGCACTTTTGCCCGGTGCCATCTCCGCAGGTGTTGAGCCCAGTGACTGCCACCAGCGCCCGCACACAAGGCAGACCTTTCCCTGTCAACGCCACGGGGAGCTGTCACCTGCTACTCCAGCATCAATGACACCTGTCCCCATCTGTCCCCACTGCCTGCAGCTCTGCCACTGCCTGGGCACARGGCTGGGCTTTCAAAGGAGCGGTTYGGGCTTWTGGCCCCCCAGATTGCACCAGCAATTTGCACAACTGAGCGAGATGCCGCCCATTGTGGACCAAAAGGGACTGGTGTGAGCTTTTCCTCCCACCTGCACCATGCAGATGCTAATGGGCTGTGGGGGAGGCTGCCTCCAGACTCGGGAGGATGCCTGCAGTCAATTTKCTTGGCTTCCTTAGCTCTGACAAACATTCAACAAGCAAAACTCAGATCTGTGTGTCCACAGCAGCTGCAGGTGTTGGGACTCCAGCTCCCATGYTGGATCCAGCACTGATGGCTTGTGGTGTACTTGTGGGGAGGACAACAGAAGATAGGGAGTGAGGAAATGTGAAGACATCTAAAAAGTGTGAGCTGGATGGGATGGACTCTACACCATAATGAGACAAACACGTCCTGTGTCCTGGGAGCAAATCCAGCCCAGAGAATTGGCTGTCCTTRTCTAGGTTGGTCAGGATCAGAAATGAGAGGAGATGTAAAAGCCATGATGCTCCATAAACCTTAACCCTATCAAGGTAAAGGGACCTGGGAGCAGAGGGGTCCCATGTCCACTTTCTTTACACTCCCTTAACACTTAGCACTTCAGTRCCTGTGAACTACCCACTCACCTTTAAGGACAGTCAGCACTGACTCTCACTTTCAAKCAAATGAAAGGTGTCAGAGTGTGCCAGTGAGAGATGGATCCTCTCTGGGGTGTCCTTCAGGCTCTGGAGAGTCCAGTGCTGGCCTGCTGCCTTGAGCACAGCATAATGACATGGGAGAATCCCAGCTCAGGGGAAGGGGATCTTGGTTATCTCGGCAAGGAAAGACATGGGAGACCAATGTGTTTGAAAAAGGAGTGGGGAGTGATGGATCCACAGTCCGTGGGCAGTGGAATCTCCCCAGATGGACTTGCATTCAGCCAGCAACTGAACTTTCGGTCCCAAAGGAACAACTATTTCAGGAGTTTGAACCAAAGTGAGCTGAAAATTGTCATTAATCACTGACCCCTGTGATGCTGAAAGTGCTGCATTGGGGAGGAGATGCTTACATGAAACAAAAGCCTACAATGCCATTCCAATAGTGATTAAATTGACAGAGGCTGTGTCCTGCAATGCAGCATTATGGAAGACAAGGCAAACAAGATTAACCCACATTGACAAGGCATTTATCCATGGCTAAGAAGAGACCCACGCCACAGCATCTCTSTCCCACAAATTTACACCAGCCCACAAGAGTCTAATCCCTCATGGCCTGTCAGGCTATTAGGCAAATCTCTGGCTCTCATTTGCCTAATCCAATAGCTCCCAGCTTCATAAGAAAGACCTCCTAGGGGGCCTTAACAACCATGTTTGTTAGGCCTTATATGAGTAAACAAAGCTCTTAAACCGAACAGCTTCCTCTTCCATATGGGATCTCAACAYTCTCTTAACCTGGAGATAAACCCAACCACACTCAGGGAAGGAGGATGTGTTTATAACAGGTTGAGTTTTGCCTCCACAATAAGCAGCATCTGAAGGATTTTGCCATCACTAGCTCTACACTTAACACTCACTGCAGAGTTGCCAGGTGCCTTCATATCATCAAGGATTTCTTGCGCAGCCAGTGAGGTCACAGTGCTCATTCCCTGTTCTGCCAGCTTCAGTGGTGAAATAAGCAGTGTTAAAACATGCTTTCAAGATCAAGATGTTTTGTGTCCATGTGTGAACATCACCAGGAGATCAAACACTTTCATGGGCTTGTACACCTGAGTCTATAAATGCCTTATTGCAAACTCTCTAAATTTAATTTTTCTGATTCCTACCACTGGCAGKGATACCTGTAACATTAAACAGGGTGCAGGTATTCTCTAGTTCTTGAATTTGAGGTCACCACCATCTCTGCTCTAGAGATATATCCCTTTTAGAGCAATGGGAGGTCAATGGYCATCTGAACCCCCAGCCTCTGCACTTGCAGTCTCCAGGGATGCAAGTATGGTATGAAATGTTATGTATTTTCCATCAGTTTGGAGTGGAGCTCCCTCCGAGGCTGGTGGTGAGCAGGGATCTGATMTGGAACTGTAAATCCTTCACACCCACTGGCTGAGCAGCTGTTCAGGTTAGGTCTCATTTATATGMAAAGCAGTTCAGCCATCAGCAAAGATCTCTAATGATGCAAATCAGTCGTGTGTCATCCCAGCAATGAAAGTCAAGGGAGCCCTTACTTGCTCGAATCCAGCACATTTCAGCAAAAGTGCCATTTAGTAAAAGAAAGGGGGTTTTTACTGTGGAGTGTGGCCCACCACCCTCAGCCACTTTCCAGCTGAGATCACAGCTAAATCGCTTATCTTTACATTTTCATACAAATCTGATTATCCTTGAACAGCTAATTGTTTCGTAAGTGCCACTTGGAAGCTATCCATTTCCAACACAAGTAAAGAAATTGCACTATAAAACTGTCTACCTTTGCCATGAGTCACTTTAGCACATAGGATGAATATTTGGCACACTTCACTTTTTCAGATTAACTCGCATATTTATTTTGGAAGAAAAAAAAATGGACTGCTTTAATTCCTTCCCATCAGAATTCCTCATATTTGCTTAGCTTATTGAAACTTATTTAATAGACTTTACAGTATGTATGTTATATAGTGACTGCTGATGGAGGAGACATTCACATCTCCTTTCATGTAATAAAAAGCTGAAAAGTATCTATGAGAGCATTTGATACTTCATTAGGAGAGTCAGTAAACCCGACAGATTATGTCACCTGCCATGAAGAAGGGTTTCATCCCTTTGGCTGAGGCCATGGAAACATCCAGTAGGAGCTTAAATTCAGTGTCTCCTGCATGGAGCATGTGTTTCTCATCCAGAGTCAGTCCAATGTGTTGCAATTAAATTTCTTAAAGATACACTCTGAACTAGGCTGGGAAAACCCCTGAGAAAGAAAAGAGGGTTCTGAGCTTCATTAAACAAGTCAGGGATTTCCTCAGATGTTCATTCAGTCTCATGAAAAAGTAGTTGTACACCTTTGCAAAAGGRTTTTGCTTAGCCTAAGTAAAAAATTCTATGTATTGTCCCATGTAACCACATACATGAGCTAAAATCTAAAAGAACAACAAGATTTATCTCAGCATCAGTTAATTACACAGTTTATTAACATCTTTGGACTGCTATCTAAAACAAAAAAAAAGTAATGTTCTTCTAGGTGGGCCTGATCCAAATGTCACATTCAGGAGTGAAACACAGAGTTCCAGTTTCTGAAATGAAGAGTTTTGCATTTTGCCAACTAAATCCTGCAAGGTGGAGAGATGGCAGGAAAAAGAAATTACAAAAGTCATGGGCATTTCCAAAAGTGCCATCAGACAYCCAGGATAAGGGATGTGTCTCTATGCTATGTATTCTTGGTCAAGTCATCCCAGACTGCAAAATGTGGTATTAATTAATGAACAGCCAAGGAAGAAATTGCAGAGCAATATAAACAAGTGATACATCATTCCGAGAAAGGCTTGTATCAAAGTCTAATAATTTTGTAAATGTAGGCRAAATGGATCTATACAGTGACCTAACCGAAGACTTAAAAGCTGTAGGAAATCAGAGGTGCTCCCTGCAGGCARGAGCCTCTCATTCTAAAAGATTCTGCCTCTGCAAGGAGCTAYGTGCCCTTTATTYCTATAAACTGCAAGGAGGGCTGTGRGTCCTCCTCCCTCCCTAGACTGAAGCCTAAAATTGTCAATTAGGAAAACAAATGTGGTACTAGACATCTTTGTGTGAGTGTCAGTTCAGCAATCACTTTATTAAAAGTAATTTTAGTATWGAATGTAGTGCAATTTCGGTAATTTAGCAAAGTACAATGATGGATTGAAGYGCCTGGTGACAGACGTTTATTTCACCTTCTGAAACACAATTATTATGCACTTTACTCAATAATAGTATCTTGTTCCAACTAAAATACATGTGTAGTTCCTTAAGCTGTAGAATCATAGCAATTTGAGAGGGAAATGGCTGATTAGGTCACTGATTCCAGGATTTTGCCAGCCCATGATTGCTCCCTGCCCTTTATCAGCTAGAGTTTTCCCCAAACCCCTTTCTTTTACATGTTTTAGTGATGATGATATCCATCAAAAAAAAAAAGGAGACTTCAAACACAGTTGAAAGATTCAGCCTTTTGCTGCAGAAAATCCTGCATTTTCACAGTGGGAAGGGTCTGAGGGGTTTTTACCTTCTTCTTATGGCAGATGGCTGAAATGCTTTCAGCCAGAATGCTSTTCAATGACCTTTTTTCATGGAAACAGCTTTGCTGAAAAGATTTCCCAGTTTCCCTTCTAAATTAARAGTGTAAGTCCAGCTTTTTGGTCTGAAATACCTCTTACTACTTTTTGCCTAATACAGCTTAATATTTAGCACTTGCTATACCAGAAATAGAATGAAAAATGAGCCTGACTGAAATTTCACTCAAGAAAAGCCACCATTCCTGACCCATACACAGAGGGATGGTTGGGATGTGGTTTCCACTGGTCTTTTTGGAAAACCCAGCTGCCTGAGCCATCTCTCTGCTCTGAAGACCTGGGCTCTTTCTGGGTCATATGCTGGGTAGCCTTTACCACATTCCAGCACAGGGGAACTGAGCAGACACCCAGAACCTCACATTTTATTACATGTCCTGACATACCTGCTGGAATGTCCTATGGAAAAGGCACTTGTGGTGCTGGCTTTGTGCCTTCTCTGTGTTTATCCATGGGTAATACCCTTGAGAGCAGGTGCAACCTGTGGAAACAGCACAAATAAATACAAGGGGATGTCTTGAGAAAGCAGGCTTTCAATGGGAACTCAYGGAAACAGGTGGGCAGAAAAATGTGCACTGTGGAGTTGTGCTCTTCCAAACACTGGAGAGACAGGCCAGCAGGGAGCTGCATGTTCAGCCAACACCCCCATGGGGTGGTTACACTCCCCTTACAAGTGTGGCCCTGCTGTGTATGGGCCAGCGAGGCATTGCCCAGGCTTGGCAGGTCCAGCAATGCCTTTAGGGCTCACTGTGCAGCTGGCACCAGCAGAGGACACCAYGCTCAGACACAGAATATGACAAGTTCTCCTATCACAGATAAGCTCAACCAATGATTAAAAAAGAAAGAAATGTGTGATTCTTTCAGACAATTCAACCAAGCAAGCTTCTGTCATCCATCCATAAGCCCATTCCTCACTCCATTGTCCAGCTCACCACATGCTATTGGAGTCAACAGACATCTCCCAGGGTAAAATACTTTCTGTGCAAGCATTAAACTCAGCCCCATGATGTCCTTTTCCCCTACACCTCACCAGTTCCCTGAGCCTTCCTGCCTGATTATYCTCCATTAAGGTTATCCTGTAACTGAGCTGCACACAGAAACATGAGTATAAAGATGCACTGGTGCAACTGGCCCAAAATTAAAACCCAGACTACTTCTGTTGAATTTCAGAGGTTCTGAGGCTTTAGCCATAGAGTAAATGCCTGTGAATCTGGAGACTAGGGGAAAAAAAAATTTCCCTGGTGCAACTGTCAGGTGCCATTCAACTCCAGCCATGAAATCACAACATTTACTTTGCAGGGCTRTGCCTGTGTCTTGTCAGAGGCACAGCCTCTCACAGCACAGGAACAGGCTCTGTTCCCAGCTCTACCACAGACTTCCCGCATCTGTCTGGAAAAAAATCACTGAGAAGCACATCTGAAAAAACGTCACACRCTCAGCTCCAGACATTTGATCTAACACCTGGCCTAGCTCTCAGCAGCACTGGACACTGCAAACACTGTTGGCCTCGACTGGGGCACTTGTAAAATCCAGACCTGATGGATGCAATGGGGCTGGAGGGAACATCTGCTTCTTYGCTGCACTGCACAGACTTCACACTAAGGTACCTTTTCAACAGAGCTGTGTACAAGTCAAACCAGTTAAACCAGCGAACAGTTGCTCTTTGTTCTGCACACATGCCAGAAATTAAAAACTCTCACAGTTTGGCACCAAGAAGACAGAGATCCATAGCTAGTSATGGTGTTTGGAAACAGGAGACATAAACTCTTTTAGTTCTGTTTTCCCACGTGTAAACAGAGGATGCCAATTCCTGCCTAGTCTCTCCAGGACTYAGGACTCCCAGGCATTTGGAAAGCACTGAGGGCATCCCATAGACGACATAAAAAGCTGCTTGGAATACTTCTGTTTTTAAAAAAATTAGTGAGGTGCTGGCTGGAAGCTAATAATGTTTGCTRTGTCAAGCACAAAACAAGATACTGTTGCTCATGCCATAAAGCAAATAACTGTTGAGCATGCTGAATACAGGGGCTGCTTTTTGACATTTCATCGGGTGTGTTATATATCCTGTCCTAGAYGAAGTGTGTGGAAATAGTTGAAAACTGGAGATAGCTTTAAAATAAGAGAAATATAAGGTTTCAAAAGTGTTTTTCTGCCTTGCTAGATTTTTTTTTTTTTTTGCACATAGTTCTCTCTGTAGAAATTTTGAAGAGGAACTTGTCTGTGACAGTGTTTGCATTTGACAAGTGCCTTGTTGGAGCAGAACACCTGTGTTGCATGACCAMTACACACAGCAGAGCTGAGTGTGCTGCTCTGCAGTGATGGTCAGTGAGAAAGGGGCACAGGACCTCACACCCCAGCAGGTATCTGTGGTCTGGCTGTGCCATCTCAGCTGAGGAGGCAGAAACATGCTGGTTATTCACTGCCCATCAGCCCTGACACTCCTGTGTCCCAGGAGCTGTATGTTCCACTGCAAGAGACCCGGGGATGGGTTTGATGAGCGATGTTTGCTGCCGTGGGGAGAGCAGCAGTCTCAGCCCTCCTCCTGTGTGAGGGTAATCACAGGCACAAGGACGTTGCAGGCAAGGAAGGGTTCCTGTCACTCCCCATCTCCTCGGGGCAGCCAGGCACTGCATGGCCCTCACTGTCACTCTCCACCAACCCTGCTGGGACATGMCACGGCCAAGGATCGCTCCTCATCAGGGCTYTKTCAAATAAGCAAAAGAAAGTGAAATGTCAAAGAAAATAGAGAAGAAAAGCGGCATCTTGTGTTCCTCTTATCTCCTTTTCCAGGAGTGTCTGATGCCTCAAAAGAGTGGGAAATTTTCTGAAAGCAGACCTTTTTGATAAATGATGCAGTTATTTATTTTGCAGAGAGCTGAAATATGTCATGATGCTGTTTTCAAAGTAACACAGCATTTGACAAAGAGAATCATTGGCGATTTACTGCATGACACTCCATTTGTCTCAGAGGAAGAAAGGCCTTGTTTGAACCTCTCAGGATTTTAACCTGAATTCCACCAAACCAAAGGCTTTGAAACCTGAAGTTTTCTCCCTGAAGATAAAAACCAGGTTTTCCTGTTCCCCATGAATCATCACAACCCTGGAGACTGCTGTGGAACATGAATTGCCCWCTACACAAGAAACACCAGCATCTGTACATCCCATCAGCAGGAGGTGACCAATGCTTCTCCCGAGGCATCTGACAAGCAAACAGAGTTACTTTCCTTGCCTAAAKTCCCAGCTTTGCCTCATGCTACCCCTTTTAGGGTATGCTTTAATGATTCACCAGGAAAAATACATCCAGAAGCAACTGTAGGGGCCAGCAGTGCCATCACAGATTTGCAAGATTTTAACCAGAAAATCACAAACCTGGAGTTGATCTGGAAGTCCTGCTTTGCCTRTCCCAGGACCCTTGCATTTGTCCTGCAGCTGAAAATGCAAATGCAAACAGAGAAATGCAATCTTTACAGCCGGGATCAGCACTKGTCTCCTCCAGGAAGCGTGACCCCGTTGCTCTGACTGTTGGTTCTGATGCAACAGCCAGGGAGGACCTCAGACAGCCCAGGGCCACACTATCATTGCGAGATAAACAGCCCCAATTGCTCAATAGATGCTGTGMTGATCTGAGGGTGGAAGGACTGTGTTTTTGTATTCTGCTCTGCTGACTCTCACACCCATGACCAGCAAAGCCATGCTGACCCGAAAGGGCTGCGGTCCCTTGGGGCATGGCAGCTTTCCTTGAGGGAGTGAGCTGAGCCAGGTTGTATGCAGGCATCCCCATGCTGCTCTGGAGGAAAGGCTGGCTCTGGACACCCAGCCACTCCACTGGCAGTGCTGAATTGTGGCAGCGAGCTCAGCACAGGAAAACACTGGGGTTTCCAAGGAGAGAAGCATGCAGTTGGTGACAGCATTTTCCCCAAGTGTTACCCAAATCTGCAACGAGTTGTAACAGGCTTGTCATAAATCTGCATTGCCAAACTCTCCCTGGAAGAAYCTCTCCTGACACCCGGGAGGGCAGACCTGCCTCCCCAGAGGGGAGGGGAAGGAGGTGGCTGAGGTGGGTAAYCAGACACTTCTTCACTGTCTCTTCTCTCTGCCCTGTGCTCAAAGCCGCCTGCCATGGGCACATTTTTGGAGGTTGGACACCTTGGGATGATGGCTGCTTGCCAGGCAGGCTGTGGGAGCTGGGCATTCAGCCCAAGACAAGGCCAGGAGGAAGGAGAGGCTGTCTCCTGCCCTGGGAGATAAACCCCCAGCTTTTCCCCAGCTCCCTGGGAGAGCAGCTCTGCTGTACTGCCCGAGCTGCGGTTCACAGGCCTTCTCTGTAGGCTCAGAAAATCCATTTTCCATCCTCAGAGAAAAGTGCTGCCCTCACACACAATTGGGAGAGCAACTGCCTTCATCCTGCATGCAGGTTGCTTTGAAAATCCCACGTTCACACCAAAGGCTGTGGAAGCAGGGAAGGGGAACCGGGCAGGTTGTACGAGGCTTTCCTGTACCAGACAAGGAGGGGGTCATGGTCAGAGCACAGCACAGGGAATCAGGATATCCAGGGYAGGATCTGAGCTGCCCAGCAGGCATGGTGACATCCCACATCTGGGTGAGCCTGATCCTGCTCAGCTCAAAGCTTTTCTGCTGAAATCTCCCACACTGTGCTGATGCTGCCACACTGGCATAATGTGTCTGTGGGGGATCTGCAAAACAGCTCCGAGAAAGGCTTTCTTTTCCCACCAGTTGCTTCATGTTTTACCACTAAGCTGAAGTAAAACATTTCCTGGTGTTCTGTTGTRGGGAACTTACATTCTTCTTCCCACTTTAGTGTCAAAAGCACAAGAATAACCAAAGAAACATAGCTCTCAGGAGATTTTTGGGCGGAGAAGAAGTGGCAAGGTCTGGGGGCAAGAAGAGGGGATTTGGCTAAGCAGGGTTCCCAGATCAGCTCCCAGATGCTCCAGAGAAGAGCATCCAAACCAGAACTGAACTGCAGTGTGGAAGCAATTTGTAGAACAAAATCAGAACCAATAGCCCATGCACACATCCTGCCAGGCAGGTGCCAGCAGCATCACTCCCCTCTCCTCTCTCTRTAGCATCATCTGCCAAGCAGGAGATCAAGAATGTGAACTCCTGCATCTGCCAGCCCATGGACCCGGGGTCAGAGAGAGATGCTGGGACACACTGGGACACACCTGTGCCTGCCTGGYCCCSAGCCCCAGCAYTGCTGCCTGCAGCACAGCCAAACCAGAGCAYGCTGCTTCCTGACACGGCTTTAGCAGCAGGAGGAATTAGCAGAGAAGCTTTTGTGGCCTTGGATCTTAATGAGATTCATTTTCAAAAAGGCCCAGGGTCTCATTGCAGTTTCCAAGCAGAACGAGATCACCTGAGGACTTYGAAAGGGAAAGAAGAGGTACTTGATTAGTGCTACAAGAGCAGAGCTCGGCAGGAAGGGAGAGCAGAGAGTTGAGCCCAGGCCATACACATGGCAGGGCAGCATTTTGCTCCATCTGTGGCAYGGACATCTGAGTATGCTGGATCCAYGTTAAAGGAATATTCACTTGTGAATATTCTTCCATAAGTAAGTGAGACTCCAGTTAAAGGTCACACTAAAGCYGGCCTCTCTGTGATTCCCTAGGAGTAAAGTCAGATTTGAAGCTATAGTAATTTCAGAAAAATATACCAGAATTTCTCTTTAGGCTTCACATAGCCTGGGATCTGGTTTCGGGGCCTTTGCAAGGACATTCCATGCCACTTCCAAGGACTTGTTAAAAAATACTTTATACCAGCAGAGTTCTGTGGGATTTTTTTTCTTGCTAGTYCTGCAGGCTACCATGGGGAAATTCACTAGCAGGATTTCTGTAGGACTCTGACTCACACAGGAACTTTTATTACTGCTTTTAAATATTTGACTGCCTTTTGGCTGCTGGCAGAAAAGTTATTAAATGTTTTACCAGACAAGGCCAGCAACTCTTTATAAAAACATCTTGGCCTGGCATAAAGCATATGTCTCTACTTATCTCTGTAGCATGTGCTCAAAGCTTTCACATGTCCCTTGGCAGAGGAAGAAACTTGGGACCTTCATCTTTCCAGGCTGTGGATRAACAGAGCATCCAATGTCCTGTGCCTGTGCGAGTAAATCTTCTGGTATGAAAACAGTCCTGCTGCAATAGGCAAGATATATCAAATTTGCAGGACTGAAGAGGATGAGGCCTTGGTACAAACTCCAGATTATGGTTCATAAGCACAAAAACTCTTATTCTTGCAAATAGGTAATGTCACTAGGTTGGATGGCATTGCCAGTACTGCGTGACATGTTGTTTCTTTGCTTGAAGTCCTTTCACCTCCATCACTGTTTCTTCTCCATTCATCTTCCTTATGCAAATTACGATGAAACAAAGAAAATGCCCCACAAACCAGAGCAGAGATGAACTGTGTCCCACTGCTGCATGGAAAAAAAGCAGGAATAAAATCCCTGCCTGTTTCTGTTTTCACAACAGCAGTAGATCAGGATGGGCTGTTCAACAGAAGAACTTGTGGTTTTATTTGTTGCTTCACTCGCTGATTATTTTGTTGTGTGATAGAATGATCAAAACCAGTGGGTTATCACTAAAAGTGACTGCTGCTTACCTGCTTGGATAGCTGTACTTCAGGAAAGTAAGAAATGCTTCAACTTCTCAGTATCCCTCCGTGGGCATCCTGAACACAGCTGCAGCAGGGATAAACACAGCGGGTAAGCAGAGAGAGAGGATCTGCACCTCAGGGGCTGAGCAAACCGGGAGCAGCCCCATTCGTACTGCACGGAGCAGGGGGTATGCCTCGACAGCCCCCAYTGTACAGGGGTTACCCCCAAAAGGAGCAGCTCTGGGGCTGCTGGCCACCTGGCCTCAACAGCTCAGCCTTGTTGGGGAGCTGATGCTCAAGCAGCCAGGCTGCTCCAGGCTCCTTCCCATGCTGGCAGCAGCTCGGAGCTCGCTCAGGGCTGTCCCTGCGGGCAGAGCTGCGGGCACAGCTCACAGGCTGCTGCTGCCAGCCAGGCTCARCTCTGCCGCAGCGAGGGGAGACTCSGGCCCAGCCCCTGACCCGCACCATTTCACTGCAGATTAACCTCAAATTCCACATTTCAGCCAACTTGTGTCGGGGTGCAGATGACAGGGTCGGGCCCACCAGGTGCAGAGTGACCATCTGAGAATTCCGAAAGGCTGACGGTGCCCTCCTGGSTGTGAGCATTCCCCCGCACCTCCACGGCTCCATCGCAGCCGAGCACTCCCAGCAGAACCCCCGGGGCGAGCAGGGGCGAGCAGCCATCCCCGAGCGGGGGGAGCGGGGCTTTGCTTGGCCGGCTCCTTCCTCGCACGGCTCCGCAAGCGGCGGGAGCAGCCCCGCGAGTGCCGGGAGCCGGGCAGGGCACAGCCCGCACTAGCAAGGGCCGCTGGTGCCCTCTGTTGTCACAAGAASGCAAAGGAGCTGCCGGGAGCACGAGTGGGATGTGCCAGCCGCGATGGCAGCGCTGCTCTCGCTGCTCGGGGCTGCGGATGGTGCGACAGGGCTGAGCCTGGCAGTGCCCCAGCTCACGGCAGGAAGGGCTCGGCGGGTTTGCACCCACAAAGGGCGAGAAYGGCTGCAGCTCACTCAGCTCTGTCACCCTCCGGCTGCATCAGCCAGGGCATCTCAGTTCATCCCTTCCTAAATAGTCAGTGATGAGTCTACAACAGTTCATGGAAATCACGTATAGGTTTCCCAGCTAAATAGTACGTGTGCAAGAGAATCCAATTTTTCTTTTAAAAAGAGGAATACAGCTTTGCAGTGGGTGAGGGCTGATGGCTCAACACGTGCAGGGGCACCAAGGAGCCTCTGCTGAGAGCGGGGTCCAGCCCTTGCTGCCCAACTCGGGGAAAAGCTGCCCATTCACACATCTCTTCTCAAAGTGACATACCAGCGTGTCCCAACACTGACGGCTCTGAGCCTTTCCCTGATTTGGCACCGAGTATTGCAGGGCTGCAATTGCTGCTAGGAGTGACATAATGACTTGKRATTTTCTTATAGTTTTGACCMTAAGACYCACAGTATGRGCCCTGCAGGCTGTGGCCCCAAAARCCACAATCCAACTTGCAGCACAACTTTCCCCGGTCCTCCCAAGGGGCAGCATGCCTCTCACCAGCCTCCAAGCAGCAGCAGAGCCCTCTGGGCATCATTCAAGCACAAGGTTTTGGGCTCTGTAAAGCCAGGCTGTGGCCTCTCACCTCATTCCCAGATGCAGCAGGGTGCCTGCATTCCCTACTCACCCACAAAGAGAAACCCAGCCTTGCTGAACAGGCATCTGTGTGTCCTGTGGAGTCCTCAGGCTCAGACACATTTCGAGGCTTGCAGATGATATGATGATACAGCCATCACCTTAAAAATTAATATTTGAAAGCGGAGTCTTAACTGGAGCAGACAGATTTAACTCTATTCAGAGCAGAACAGACWTCAGCAAGAAGTGGCTGGGTTCCATGTCCACAGCAA